TCCCACCTCAGCCTCTTTACTAACTAGGACTATAGGCATGTACCACCACTCCTGACTGTTTTTTAATTTTTAACTTTGTAAGAGATGGGATCTTGCTGTGTTGACCAGGCTGGCCTTGAACTTCTCACCTCAAGTAATTCTCCTGCCTTGGCCTCCCAAAGTGTTGGGATTACAGGTGTGAGCCTCCCTGCCCAGCCATAAATGTAATTTATTGCACATTTCAAAATTGCCAAGAGTAAATGTTCTCACAACAAAGAATAAGTATATGAGGTGATGGATATGTTAACTACTTTGATTTAATCATTTCACCTTATATTCCTAAATTCTAATATAACTTTGTACTCCGTAAACATATACAATTATAATTTGTCAATGTACCACTTAAAGAATTATCCAAACCTGGGCAATGTGGCAAAACCCTGTCTCTACAAAAAATACAAAAAGAAGAAAATAGCCAGGCATGATGGTGCCTATCTGTGGTCCCAGCTACTTAGAAGGCTGAGGTGGGAGGATCACTTGAGCCCAGGATGTCAGTGAGCTGTGATTGCACCACTACATTCCAGCCTGGGCAACAGAGCAAGAATTGTCTCAAAAAATAAAGACATAAATAACATATTTAAATCATCCAAGTATACACTGTCTACAAGAGACTCACTTTAGATCTAAAGACACAAATAGGATGAAGGTGAAAGGATAGGGAAAGACATGTCATACAGATAGTAACCAGAAGAGAGCAGAGGTGGCTATATATAAATAATCCAATCACAGACAGATTAATACTTTACAGGCCGAGTGCAGTGGTTCACACCTTGAATACCAGCACTTTGGGGGACTGAGGCGGGCAGATCTCTTGAGGCCAGGAGTTCAAGACCAGCCTGGCCAACATGATGAAACCCTGTTTCTACTAAAAACACAAAAATTAGCCGGGTGTGGTGGCGAATGCCTGTAATCCCAGCTACTCGGGAGGCTGAGGCACAAGAATCACCTGGACCTGGGAGGTGGAGCTTGCAATGAGCCGTGATCGTGCCACTGCACTCCAGCCTGGACGACAGAGAGAGACTTTGTCTCAAAAAAAAAAAACACTTTGGAAAAAAAAAGATTAATACTGTATAAGTCCACTTACATGAGGTACCTAGCATAGTCAAATTCATAGAGACAGAAACCAGAAAGGTGATTGACAGGTGGTTGTCAAGTTGAGGGGAGGAGGGAATGTAGAGTTGTTGGTTAAGGGTACAAAGTTTCAGTTTTGCAAGATGAAAAGGATTGTGGAGATGGGTGGTGGTGATGGTTGCACAACAATATAATAGTGCTTAATATGTTAATATCACTGAACTGTACACTTAAAAATGGTTAAGATGGCCAAATGTGGAGACTCATGCCTGTAATTCCAGCACTTTGGGAGACCATGGCAGGGGGATCACTTGAGGCTAGGAGTTCAAGACCAGCCTGGGCAACACAGTGAGACCCATTCTGTAAAATAAAAGCAAAAAATTAGCCAGGTGTGGTGGTGCACACTTGTAGTCCTAGCTATTCAGGAGGCTGAGGCAGGAGGATCGCTTGAGCCCAGGTGTTTGAGGCTGCAGTGAGCTATGATTGCATCACTGCACTCCAGCCTGTCTCAAAAAAAAAAAGAGTATAAACCATTGGAAGCATGCTGGGTCCATACAAATGTATAAACCATTCTTAGCTCACAAGTTTTAAAAACTAGGCTGGATTTGGCCCGTGTAGTTTGCTGACCTCTGTTCTACCTCATAGGGCTGTGACAATTTATGTAGTTTAACATATAACAAGTCCTCTCTGTATCCATCTTACAGATAAGGAAACTGAGGCTCAGAGAGGTTAATGTTTCTTCTTGTATGCATTGTTATAATTTATTCCATTTATTTATTTATTTGAGACAGGGTCTCACTCTGTTGCCCAAGTTGGAGTGCAGTAGCCTGATCATGGCTTACTGCAGCCTCAACCTCCCCGGGCTCAGGTGATCCTCCTACCTCAGCCTCCTACTGGGACTACAGGTGCACACCACAATGCCCAGCTAATTTTTGTATTTTTTTTTTTTTGTAGAAATGGAGTTTCACCATGATTCCCAGGGTGGTCTTGAACTCCTAGGCTCAAACAATCCACCCACCTCAGCCTCCCAAAGTGCTGGTATTACAGGCATGAGCTATCATGCCTGGCCTATTCCTTTTATTTAAGATATATTTTTACTTAAGAGGTATTTTTTGCTTATATATTTTCTTTTCTTTTTTTTTTTTTTTTTTTTTTTGACAGAGTCTTTCTGCATCAGCCAGGTCGTCGGAGTGCAGTGGCATGATCTTGGCTCACTGCAACCTCTGCCTCCTGGGTTCAAGCAATTCTCCTGCCTCAGTCTCCCAGGTAGCTGGGATTACAAATGTGCACCACTATGCCCAGCTAATTTGTGTATTTTTAGTAGAGATAGGGTTTCACCATGTTGGCTGGGCTGGTCTCGAACTCCTGACCTCAAGGGATCCATCGGCCTCAGCCTTGATTCTTTTGTATAGAACCGCACCTGGCATTGTTTCTTTTGCATAGTTTCTATTTCTCCTCTGAGATTGCCTATCTATTCATTGGGAGCATATTTTCCTTTATATATCTGAGCATAGAGTATCTGCTTTAAAACCTTTGCTATTCCAACAACTTATTCCTGGAAGTCAATCTTCATTGATTATCTTTTCTCTTAAGTATGGGTTAAGAAAATAGTTCTGTTTCTTCATGTGTCTGATAATTTTGTTTTTATCTTAGAAATTGTGAATGATATACATTGTTGAGACTGTGTGTTCTGTTATATTTCTCTGGAGGGTGTTTAAAATTTTTTTAATTTCTCCCTATCCAGCCCTTGTGGTCTCTGCTTCTGAGGTTATGATATGGGTAGTGTGGTCTGCTGGTCTTGAGTTGGTAAATTCTGGCTTCAGCAAGATGGAAGGCACCCTGACAGGAAGAAGCTCTCTTGGTAAGGACACCAGTGCAGGGATGGCTCCAGTGAGTAGAACAGTATATGCTTGTAGCAGATAAGACAAGTATATGCTTGTAGCAGATAAGACAAGCTTGTAGCAGATAAGTCAAGCTGATTAAAATTCAACCTCAAAGAACACACAAGTAATAAATACATGAAAAGATGCTTATCTTGACTAATACTCAAGGAAGTACAAATTAGAACCACATTGAAATATCTTAGCCTATCAGATTGGCAAAGATGAAAAAGACTGATAACGTTTACTGTTGGCATTCTTTCATTGTTGGTGAGAGTAAAAGTCTGTGCAACACTTTTTATGTAGGGCCACTTCTCAGCATCTATCAATATTTTAAAATGCTAACCCTGAGACCCCACAATTCCACTCGTAGCAATTTATCCTACAGTAAGACTCACTCTGTTGGTTGAAGATCCACGCCCAGAATTGTTCACTAAATTCATTTAAAATAGCATATATACTTGAGCCCAGAAGTCTGAGGCTGCAGTGAGCTATGATCATGTCACTGCACTCCAGCCCAGCCTGGGTGACAGAGCAAGACTCTGTGTCTAAAGAAATGAAAATAAAAATAAATAAAATAGCATATACAGGCAACAATCCAAATGTTCATTGCAGAAATTATGATTATTACTGTTTCTCTTTTAAAGACAGGGTGTCACTCTGTTTCCCAGACTAATCTTGACCTCCTGGGATCCTCAAGTGATCCTCTGGCCTCTGCTTCCTAAAGTTCTGGGATTACAGGTGTGAGGCACTGGGCCTAGACATTGCAGGGATTATTAAACGGTGGTGTCTACTACCATCAAAGGTATGAGGTAGGTTTTATGTGCTGACCTAGAAAGATGGTGCAAAAACATAGGGGAACAAGAAGGCTGCAAAGTGGCAGCACAGCAGGAGTCTTTAAGAAATAAGCATTTGTTTCAGCTTAAGAAGTGTCTGGCTGGGCGTGGTGGCTCGCACCTGTAATCCCAGCACCTAGGGAGGCTGAGGTGGGTGGATCACTTGAGGTTAGGAGTTCGAGACCAGTCTAGTCAACATGGTGAAACCCCATCTCTACTAAAAATACAAAAAAATTAGCTGGACTTGGTGTCAGGTGGCTGTAATCCCAGCTACTTGGGAGCTGAGGCAGGAGAATCATTTGAACCCGGGAGGCCAAGGTTGCAGTGAGCCGAGATCGCACCACTGCACTCCCACCTGAGCGACAGAGTGAGAGTTGGTCAAAAAAAAAAAAAAAGACTGGGTGCAAGGTGGCTCATGCCTGTAATCCCAGCACTTTGGGAGGCCGAGGCAGGAGGATCACGAGTTCAGGAGATCAAGACCATCCTGGCCAACATGGTGAAACCCCATCTCTACTAAAATACAAAAAATTAGCTGGTTATGGTGGCGCATTCCTGTAGTCCAGCTACTCAGGAGGCTGAGGCAGGGGAATTGCTTGAACCCAGGAGGTGGAGGTTGCAGTGAGCCGAGATCGCGCCACTGCACTCCAGCCTGGCGACAGAGCAAGACTTCATCTCAAAAAAGAAAAGAAAACAAATAAACAAAACCCCCAAGAAACAGAAGTGTCTGCATGGACTTGTGCCTAACTACTCACAGTGACTACTTCTGGGGGGAGGTGAAAGGGGACCCTGTTAAATAATTTTTCTTTTGTATTGCTTTTCTTCAACTGAGTCTGCATTACTTTTATGTTTAATACTCTCCCCACCCCTGATGCTCACAGGTTGCTTTAGCTGGTGGAAGGAGAACCTACACCTCTGGTTTTGGCAAAGTATAGAAGGGGACAAGAGCACTGCTCTGCACCTGCACAGGTCCTTGCCTCCTGGGGTCAGTTTAATGCATCTCAGTAGTGTTTCTTGGGAAGAACACAGTGGACACTCACTTGCCAGTCAGTAGACAAATCACTGAAGTCCATGTCTGGCAGTTCTCATTGTCATGGGGACTGTAAGGTTGTCATGTCTCACAGTTCCCTGACTTACAAGATTAGTGCTGACAGACATTCTCAGCTCTGTTCGGGAGAGCAGCTCTGTAATGTGTTTGTGGTTTCAGATGTGGGCGGCCTGTGTGAACCTGTCGTGCAAGGCTCACGTCACCAACTGCTGCAGTTATCTCCTGAATCAGGCTGAGGGTCTTTGCTGTGCACCCAGAGACAGTTGGGTGACAAATCACCTCCAGGCTGGGGATGCCTCAGACTTGTGATGGGACTGGGCAGATGCATCTGGAAAGGTGAGTCTGTGCTTTGGGCTTCCCGACCTCTCAAGTCAGCTTGAAATTCAGAAGGCAGAGAGGGACAAGTGGCCCTCCATCCCTGGGCCCAGGGAGCCACTGTGGAAGCGTGGTGTTTGAGAACACCACCCTAGCTTTACCTCCTCTAGTGTCCTGGCCTTGGGTATCTCTTAGAGATGGCAAAATTTGCAGTGCTGAACTCAAGGATTACAAACTAATTTCCAGTCCTGTAAGGGTCATGGGTTCTGCTGTGGCCAGTGTGGAAGGAACTCTGCTTCCTCAATGATTGAACTGACCTTTGTGGGGGTGCCTTTGTTGGGTGAAAATGGGCATACTTGGGCCTCAGTTGTGAGGGCCACGGGGTGGAGCTGAGGTCTAGGCCCCCATTTTATCTTCCTTTGATTTATGCTGTTCTGGGCTCACCTTCTTTCCAGAGCTTAGCTACACGAGGTAGATTAGTATCAAGAGTGGGTATCCTCTCAGCGTGTCTTCAAGTAGCATCCCAGAGCCCCGCTCCTGGGTACCCACAACATGAATACCATCCAGAAGCAAGGGCAGCCTCTGTAGGGGGAGTGGAAAACATTTATCAAACAGTTGAGATGGGTGCAGGGGATGCAACATGATCAAACAGGGTCTTGCCTTAAGGAGCCTCATGTAGGGACACCACACAGTGATGACCTTCAACTGCAGTGGGGCAGCAAGGCTGTGGGAGGTGCGTGTTGGGCAGGAAGAGCACGGACATCATTTTCCCATCTCGCCTCCAGACTCCCAGAGAATTGTATCAATACCCTTACTCCAGCCTTGGCCCATGGCCACTGCCCAACCCCTGGGCCCTGTCAGTTCAGGACTGTGCAGAACGAGAGTTGCTCAGGCTCAGGGATTCCATCCAGCTGGGGATGCCTACTAGGGGACTGGGGGAAGGCCTCATGAAAGACCATACCTGTGATGGGGAGGGAAGCTGGCAGAGGGTACAGTGGGAAGCAGAGCAGCAGGGGTCTCCTCCATGCCTCTCTGCTTCTCACACCCACCCTCGCCTGCTCCCCTCTGCCCTGGGTCTGTGCCCTTGTCCACCCAACAACACCTCTGCAGTGCCGAGTCCAGCCCTGACTTCTTCCTGAGCTGTGGCCCAGCGTTCCCACAGACATCTACCTCATGGATGCAGCACCGCCCCCCATCCTCTTTTCTGAAAGTGTGTGGAAAATGCCTCTTGGTGCCATCTCTCTCCCACCCTGCCTTCCCTGCACCTTCTGGATGAGGTGTCTGTTGTCTCTGTACTTGCCTCCAGCTGGCCTTTCTGACCCCATCCCTCCTGCCTCCTGCCCATCCCCATCCCCACCCCTGTCGGCACCTCCACACACTCTGTGCCCAACAGCATTGGGGATTCCCACTGTGCTGAAGGAAGTCCTCATGTGGTCCAGAGAGGAGCTGGCCCCTGCTCCCATTTCCAGACCCATTTTCTAGCAGAGCCTCCATGTCCCCAGGCTCCAGCTGCTTCTGGGATACCAAGGTCTGCATTTCTTCCTCTTCCCCCAGCAGACAGAAGACCTTGCTGGACAAGTGTTCACTTCAATAGTAACTTCCATCCTATCCACCTCTATGGCTGCCAGCCTCCTGAATGGTCCAGAAGAACCGGGATACCCTTCCCTGTCCCCATTAAAAAAGACAAAATATGACCAGACATGTTGGCTTATGCCTGTCATCCCAGCACTTTGGGAGGCCGAAGCGGGTGGGTCACTTGAGGCCAGGAGTACGAGACTAGCCTGACCAACATGGTGAAACCCTGCCTCTACTAAAAATACAAAAATTAGCCAGGCGTGGTGACTCATGCTTGTAATCCCAGCTACTTGGGATGGACCAACTCTCCAGTCCTACTTTGAAACTCTCAGGTGTCACATGTGGATCCTGCCCTACCATCCCCCTTCCCTGTCTAGAAACGAGGCCTGCTGAACTTGGAGCCACCCCGCTCCCTGCTCTCAAGCCATCTGCTCCTGGGTTAGCTTGTGGCTGGCCTGGACTGGTTCTACACAGATGTGGGTGTTTCTCCACTGCTGGGGCAGCGGTTGTCCATCCTGGGGCCTGGGTCAGCTCTCAGAGGAAAAGCAGAGACCTTCCCCTCAGATGGCCATACTCCCTTGTCACTGTACCCAGCCTGCACAACAGCCACAGCTGAGAGCTTTCCTCTGCACTGAAAATGCACAGCTGTACCTGGTAAGCTGAGCAGGGCAAGGTCACCACCCTCCTACAGATGAGAAAACTGAGGCTCGGAGACCTGGGCTTCCCCAGGCCCTGGTGGTCACTCCAACCCTGCCTTCACATATCCCAAGAGCAGGCTGACTGTCCTCCCCATTCCCACCTTTCCAGTAACTGCTGCAAGAAGGGACAGACACTGCTGCAGAGAACTTGCCACGGTGTCTCATGCTGCGGCCGGTGGTGCCAGGCTGCACGCTCCATTCTAGGGAAGGGTGAGCTTCCTGATCATCAGTCTCAACAGGGGACGGTCCTATGAGTACCTGTAGTGGGGCGGGGTGGGGTTAGAGTAGTGCCTGCTGCCCGTTGAGGTGTGCGGGTTCCTTAAGGGCATGCATGCTGTAGTCTGCGTGCATGTCTGGTTTTTTCCTCCTCCTTATCAGTAATCAGTCTTGTATAACCAGGCTGGCCCTGCTTCCTGCCTAGGGGCTATCTGTGTACCATCTGGAGCTGCAAATGGGGTGATAGGGCATCAGTGGCCTTCCCACACCCAAGCACTTCCTGACACCCAGCCCCTCATCTCTGGCCAACCTCTGGCTCCCCCAGGGATCCTGGGACTCAGGCCTCACACTCCAGCATTGGGGGACTTTGCCCTTCTGGTGGTGCTCTCCTTTGCAGGTACCTTGGAACAGGGGTGCGACAGAGTTCAGGAAGTTGCATGGATACTCTGCTGCCACCCTCATCCACCTTTCTGGGGCAGACCACTTGGATGGGTCTTTAAGAAGACAAAAGGGAGAGAGAATGCAGAGGCCGGGTGTGATGGCTCATGCCTGTAATCCCGACACTTTGGGAGGCCTAGGCAGGTGGATCCCTTGAAGTCAGGAGTTCAAGACTAGCCTGGCCAACATAGTGAAACCCCGTCTCTACTAAAAATACAAAAAAAAAAAAATTAGCTGGACATGGCGGCGGATGCCTGTAATCCCAGCTACTTGGGAGGCTGAGGCAGGAGAATCCCTTGAGCCCAGGAGGCGGAGGTTGCAGTGAGCCAAGATTGCACCACTGCACTCCTGCCTGGGCAATAGAGGAAGACTCTGTCTCAAAAAAAAAAAAAAAATTGCATGGAGTTTGTCTGTGTGACCCTGGGCAAGTCATTTCCCCTCCTTGCCTGTGAACCAGGACAGTGCTTCTCCCTCGTGGAGCTGTTGTGAGAATTAAAGTAGAAAATGCACTTGTGGTGGTTGTTGGTAGTGATCAGTTCCCCCAACCCTGACTCCCCGGCAGGATGGGGCCTGGGCCCAGGGATGGGGGATGGGCTGGCAAAGGATGCCCATCCCAGAGAGGAGTCTTCTTGGCAAATGTGGAAACCAAGCTGAGTCAGAGTCCAGGATCTAAGTTTGAGGGTGCTCCTTATACCCTGCAGCCATGAGTCTTTGGCTGGGTCAAATGTCCTTTCTGAGCTACAGTTCCTTATCAGTAAAGCCTGGGCAGTGGTGCCAGGACACTGGACACAGTGTGAGTGCAGGTGGGGACCCACTGACCACTCTGCTGGGGAGCAATTCATGGGGAGCACCCCTCTAGGGAGGGATGATTTGCACAGGCCCTCAGCCCAGTCCCTTGCAGGCTGGACCTTGGAGAGTGAAGCCCTGAGGCGAGACATGGGCACCTGGCTCCTGGCCTGCACCTGCGTCTGCACCTGTGTCTGTTTGGGAGTCTGTGTCACAGAGGAAGGACAAGGTGAGGGCTGGGTACTAGTGTTTGTATGAGGTGGGGGGAGAACTGGGGCATGTTTGGGGGACTGGGTTGTCCAATGTCAAGTCCCTAGGGAAAGATTTGGCTCAAACTGTGCTGGGGCATGTCCTCTAAGAGTCATCCTGGGCCTCAGTCTCTAGTCTCCCTACCTTTACCTCCCTACCTTCAGTCCCTGGACCGACCCTAGTCTCCCTTCCTTCACCTTCTTGATGCCTCTCCGGGTCTGACTTGCCCGTGTACCAGGAGTCAGCACCCATCATTTCCCAGGCCTCCCAGTGCTTCCCTGGACAGATTCTGGGATCATTCACTGGTGACTGCCCTGCTAGGGTGTCAGCTGTCAGATCCCCCCCAGCCCCCTAGCTCAACTGTGCCCTGAAGCACTTACTGTGGGCTCCCAATGATCACTGTCTCCAGGGCCAAGGGCTGGAAACTTCACCTGCCTCACCAACAACATTCTCAGGATCGATTGCCACTGGTCTGCCCCAGAGCTTGGCCAGGGCTCCAGCCCCTGGCTTCTCTTCACCAGGTGAGGGTGGAGGGCCATGCTGGGGGAGCAGTGAGGGGCCTGAAGGGACTTAGGGTCCCACGTTGAAGTTGGGCTGGCACATGGAGGAAAGACATGGCTTTCCACGGGAAAGGAGGGAGACTAGGCTTGCCAGAAAGGAGACAGCTGCTCCCAGGATGAGTTCTAAACATGCTGCCTGAGCCCTTCCCTCCTCCCGTGCTCTGGACAGGGATGAGGGTGAGGTCCCCAGGATTGAAGCAGCTACGCCAGGACAGTGTAGCAGCCCCGTGGTGCTGACACATGCCCTTTCCAGCAACCAGGCTCCCGGCGGCACACATAAGTGCATCTTGCAGGGCAGTGAGTGCACCGTAGTGCTGCCACCCGAGGCAGTGCTCGTGCCATCCGACAATTTCACCATCACTTTCCACCACTGCGTGTCTGGCAGGGAGCAGGTCAGCCTGGTGGACCCGGAGTACCTGCCCCGGAGACATGGTGAGCAGCGGCTATAGGTCTGGGGCGGGGCCCCTTGGCGAGAACATCCTGGCTGCTTGGGCGTTGGGAGCAGGGCCCTGCAGCCTGTGACCCCTGTGGCCCAGTGAGTGGGCAAGATTTGGAAACCACCTAGTCTAGCTGCAGAGGCCAGAGGAAGTCATTGCTGTCCTGTCCCGCCTGGGGCTTTTCTTGACCAGTCTCCCAGTGAGGTGCCTGGTCTGAAAGGGCCTTGACCATGCCCCTTGGGAATCTTTCAGGCCCCAGTCTTGTGTATTCCAACTGACACACCCAGACCCATGGGGCTTCGGCCTCACGTGGATTCACTCTGTTCCAGTTAAACTGGACCCGCCCTCTGACTTGCAGAGCAACATCAGCTCTGGCCACTGCATCCTGACCTGGAGCATCAGTCCTGCCTTGGAGCCAATGACCACACTTCTCAACTATGAATTGGCCTTCAAGAAGCAGGAAGAGGCCTGGGAGGTAACACTTTGGCTGGCTTTCCCTGGGGGCCTCTCTCCTGGGAACAGCAGTCCAAGGCAGACCCCCCACTCTACATAGGGAGATGTCAACTTATAGTGATGAGGAGGGGAGGAACTAGAGCAGTGTGTGTGTGCACACACACATGCTGGCATGCACATGTGCATGCTTTGTGTGTGTGTATGGGAGTAGGGTGAGTGTGCCTGTGTCTCTGTGAGTATGTGCACATAAGTGTGAGTGTGCATGTATGTGTTTATGTGTGCACACATGTAAGTGTGCACACTCACATTTGTGTGCCCGTGTTTATGTGTTTGTATGTAAGTGTACATATGAGTGTGCCTGTGCCTTGTGTATGTATCTGTGAGTGTGCACATGGGTATGCCTATGTGTATGAGTGTGTATGTGAGTGTGGTGAGTTGCTTCTGTGCACGCTTGTGTATATGAGTGTGCATGCAAGTGTGAGGAGTGTGAAAGTGTGCCTGTAGACATGTTTGCCTGTGTGTGCATATGTGTATTGGTGGGCAAACGCAGCTGTATCTGTGTGTGAGTGTGAGTGTGCCTTCTCTGTGTGTGTGTGCACATGAATGTGGTGAGTGTGCCTGTGTGTTAACACAGGTGTGTTCGTGTGTGTGTTATATGAGCATATAATGCATGTGTGTATTCTCAAGGGCTGAGGCACCCAGCCCCACCTTCAGCACCTGCTAACTGCCCCCACCCCCACAGCGGGCCCAGCACAGGGATCACATTGTCGGGGTGACCTGGCTCGTACTTGAAGCCTTTGAGCTGGACCCTGGCTTTATCCTTGAGGCCAGGCTGCGTGTCCGGATGGCCACATTGGAGGATGACGTGGCAGAGGAGGAGCGTTACACAGGCCAGTGGAGTGAGTGGAGCCAGCCTGTGTACTTCCAGGCTCCCCAGAGACAAGGTGGGCGCTGCTGTGGCTGCTGCACTTCCAGAGTCTGGGCTGGGCGTCTTCTCCCCTGTTCACTTCACTCCCCGCACCCTTTCACACTCCTGGAAGCCCCTCCCTAAGGCAGCCATACCCCAGTTGATCCCCTTCTTCTGAAGGTCTGAGGTCTATACGGCGGAAACAAACACCTGCCAAGGTCCTTCAGCAGGTGACACAAACCTCCAAGGCCCATCACAAACCTTCCACTTTAGCCCAGGGCACTAAAGGGCGCACCCTTGCCATATAGGTTTGTGGGGAGCCTCCTGGCACTGAGGCTGCTCACAGCCCTGGGCCCTTCCTGCCCACAGGCCCTCTGACCCCACCCTGGGGGCAGCCAGACAACACCCTTGTCGCTGTGTCCGTCTTCCTCCTGCTGATTGGCCTGACTTACCTCCTGTTCAAGCTTTCACCCAGGTAGGTAGCTGATGTGTGTGTGTGTGTGTGTGTGTGTGTTTGTGTGTACATGTGTGAGTGGGTAATAGTGTACATGTGTTAGTGTGTGTGTGCAGATGTGTCACTGTGTGCATGTGTGAGTGTGTGGTTCGTGGGGAGTCAAGGGCCACCCTTGTCTGGTTCCTCCCCTCCCCTCTCCACTGTTTGGTCCTGGATGGGGTGGTCTTTTCAAGTCTCCACCCTGGGCCAGAAGAGGGTTCACAAGTTGCCAGGGGAGAGAAGGGAAGGGGGATCTGTGGCAGAGGCCGAAGACAAGGGCAGTGTGGTCCCGACCAGACCCAGAGTCACCGAGATCAAGAGCCCAGATCCTAGTCTTCTGCCTCTGGAGGAGCTTGGTTTGTTCATCTGTTCACACAGTCTACGAAAGGACAGTTGGGTCATCTGGTGTGCTCAGGACCCTGTTCTCACCCTGGCAGATGCCTTAGAGAACAAGATAGACAAGGACTCTCTTTAAATAAACCGTCATGCCTCATGCACCGCATGTCAGGTTACAAGAAGGAGTGCAGGGGCCATGTCAGGCAGCAGATGTGAGGAAGAGGGTGTGGGGAGTGGCTGTTGGGTAGGGCTAAGCGGGAGGGTGCTTGGCTTCTCCTTGGAGCAAAGGAAAGTGTGAAACTGTGTGATACGACCTAGTTTATGTTTTGAGGAATAGATTGCTGGGACAAGGGGACACAGGGGACCTGCTGGAGGCCAATGGGGGCCAGTGGGGTGCCCACAGGCAGATGATTCAGCATGAGCCAGTGAAAGAAGCGGAGACAGAGCAAATCTGAAGGAATTGCGGGGTTTTAGGAGGAGAAACAGAGGGGACATGTGGGTGGATGAGATACGAGTGGTGACCCCTGAGGTGGGGAAATGGGGGACACCCTTGCGGGGAGGTTGGGGAGGTCTATTTGCACCTGTTGGGTTGGAGCCCCAGGTGACATCCTTGTGGGAGGGTCAGTGGATCCTTGGCAGCAAGTCTGGTGCTCAAGGAGACACTGGGTGGAGTGGGAGCCACAGACCTTCTGCTGATGGCAAAGACGGGGTTCCTGCAGGTGCTGGCTCCCTCTGTGGGCTGAGGACCCGGCTGGTAACTCCCCGTTCTGAACCCACCATAGCAGCTCACGCTGTAAAGGATGCCTGCCTCAGTATAAATCAGTTCTGTGAGGCCGTTAAGCAAGGAGGCCCAGTTGGGTCCTACCCTGAGAGTGGGTTGGAATGTGATGAGACGGGAGAGAGGCAGTGGCAGGGACAAGGTGGGCGGGCCTCCTGCTGATGGAAGGAAGCTGAGCCTCTGCAGTGACCTCAGGCCACCTCAGGCCACGTGGGTCCCCACAGGCCTCTGACTGGCCTCTGCTGGCCTCAGGGTGAAGAGAATCTTCTACCAGAACGTGCCCTCTCCAGCGGCGTTCTTCCGGCCCCTCTACAGTGTGCACAATGGGAACTTCCAGGTGTGTGCAGAGACCATGGCAGGGCGTGGGGGGCAGGGGTTGCCCAGAGCTCTGGCCTGCCCGGGATGTTGGCTTTCATGAGGGTTGGTGGCCAGTAAGGGAGGCTTGTCAGTGCTTGGAGCCTTTTCTGTATATTCAGTGAATTTCAGTTTATACGCGTGTCTCAAATGGCGAAAAACTAGCTTTATTTTCCATTGCTGATTTCTTTTTGTTCTCATGTCTCCAGTTCCATTGTCGATGGAAAAAATGCAAATGTCTCATGACTTATCTCTGTCCCCTCTGGTTTGCAGCTGTCTGCACCCACCATGTGCCTTGCCTCCTCCTTCTGTGAATGTGTCTGTCCTGTGGCCGTGGGGAAGGGTCTGTGGTGTGTGCACTGCCCTTGGGGCTCTCAATGCCTCTGGGCTCCTGCTCTGCCTGGTCCCCTGGTTCTCGCAGATTTCATGCTGGCACCACAGCTGAGGAGTGGGCTCTGCACTTCCCCCTCTGTGGCCCTGTTGGGCCCCCACAGCCCAAGAATCAGTGAGCAACTTGGGGGTTGCATCAGGCCCTCCCCTCCCTGCTGGGCTGGCGGTTCGTGCCCCCTGGGTGGGAGGAGCGGGAGAGGGAGGAGGGGGGTGGGAGGAGGGGGGTGGGAGGAGCAGGAGAGGGAGGACTCCAGTGAGTGGTCTCTGGTTTTTTCCCTGAGACTCCTCACTTTGGACAAAGGACAAGAAGCAGTGAGGGCCCCTCCCTGGGTTCTGGGCCAAGCTGACCCCTCTTCTCCAGGATCTTCCCTCCCTGTGCCCTAGGGCATCCCTGGGCCCTGTGTGGCAAGGATGCCCCCTCCACACTACTGCTCCAGCTTACTATGCAGAGAAATCCTTTTGTCTCTCAGTGAGGAGCCTAGTTTTCGAGATTTTTGTCCAAATATTCAATTTGAACCATAAACCGGGCACCTGGCTCTTAGCAGAGTCTCCCCCGTTCCCCAAGGTGGTAGGTGTGACTGTCAAGAGCCTGGGCAGCCGAGGACAAGGCTGAGAAGGGCACAGATTGTGATTGTCCCCGGGACTGTCATCCTGTTGCAGGCACCAACCCTTCCCTAGAGAACAAGGACACCTGCTAGGGGTTATTTAGACCCTCTGGTGGGGATCTGGTGCCATAGGTTGGTCTTCAGGGAGCAGTGCAGTGATGGAGGGTGTGGTGTGTGTGGTGAATGGAATGGAGGCTCCTGGTCATACCAAGGGAATAGCTTCTTTTTGGAGGCGGGGGCCTCCTGTGGCCCCACAGAAGGATCCAGGTCTGCTGGCTATAGCCTAGTGCTTTGAAAGTCACCGGTCTTGACAGCGACTTTTGTGTGTGTGTGTGTGTGTGTGCGCATGTCAGGTGGGAGTGCCCAGTTTCTGTAGCTGCTGAAAGGCCCTGAGGCACATGCTGTCAGGAGTTGGCTCTGTCCTGGGCAGATGTCACCATCTGTACCTTGTTTCAAGCTGCTGTGAACACCAGGCCCTGTGCTGGGGGAGCGATGAGGGGCCTGAAGGGACTCAGGGTCCCATGTTGAGGTTGGGCTGGCACATGGAGGAAAGACAGAATGTCCAAGACACAGGTGATGCTTGGCCTCTGGGTGTACTTTGGGCTGCTATGGGGAATGGCACCTCTCAGCCCTCCCAGGGAAACCTCAGGAGGGCTTTCTGGAGGAGGAGGGAGACTAGGCTTTCCAGAAAGGAGGCAGCTGCTCCCCGGATGAGTTCTGAACATGCTGCCTGAGCCCTTCCCTCCTCCCTCACTCTGTTCCAGACTTGGATGGGGGCCCACAGGGCCGGTGTGCTGCTGAGCCAGGACTGTGCTGGCGCCCCACGAGGAGCCTCGGAGCCCTGCATCCAGGAGGCCATTGCACTGCTAACCTGTGGCCCAGTGCATCCTTGGAAATCTGTGGCCCTGGAGGAGGAAGAGGAGGGCACTGGGACCAGGCTTGCAGGGAACCTGAGCTCAGAGAATGTGCTGCCAGCAGGGTGTACGGAGTGGAGGGCACAGATGCTTGCCTATCTGCCACAGGAGGACTGGGCTCCCACGTCCCCCACTGGGTCAGCTCCCCCAGACTCAGAGGGCAGCAGCAGCAGCAGCAGTGACTACTGTACTTTGGGTTGCTATGGGGGATGGCACCTCTCAGCCCTCCCAGGGAACACGCAGAGCCCTGGGCCCATCCCAGCCCTGGCTTGTGGTCTTTCCTGTGACCATCAGGGCCTTGAGACCCAGCAAGGAGTTGCCTGGGTGCTGGCTGGCCACTGCCAGAGGCCTGGGCTGCATGAGGACCTCCAGGGCATGGTTTTCCCTTCCGTCCTCAGCAAGGCTCGGTCCTGGACGTTCTAGGTCCCTGACTTGCCAGATGCATCATGTCCATTTTGGGAAAATGGACTGAGGTCTCTGGAGCCCTTGTCTGTGACTGAACCTCCTGAGAAGGGGCCCCTAGCAGTGGTCAGAGGTCCTGTCTGGATGGAGGCTGTAGGCTCCCCTTCAACCCCTCTGCTCAGTGCCTGTGGGGAGGAGCCTCTATCCTCAGCATCCTGGCCACAGGTTCCTCCTTCCACTGTCCCTTTTCTTTATCCCTGGCCTCTCTGAGAAGAGGGGTGTGGTCTCTCAGCTGTTCTGCCCTCATACCCTTAAAGGGCCAGCCTGGGCCCAGTGGACACAGGTAAGGCACCATGACCACCTGGTGTGACCTCTCTGTGCCTTCCTGAGGCACCTTTCTAGAGATTAAAATGAGCTTGATGGCTATTCCAAAGTGTTGATGGCTGGGAGGAGGGGCCAGAGGAGAGGTGAGGGGTGGGGTTTGTCCAGCCCTGGGCTTTCTGGGCTCTAGAGACAGCACAGTGGAGGCTCAATGACAGTTCTGGGGACAGCAGGGCGGAGGTTCAGGGGCAGTTTCGGGACTGCAGGGTGGAGGCTCAGGGACAGTTCCTGGGAGGCCAGCACCCTCGTTCCTCCTTGTCCTCATCCTCCCACTTGCTCCAGGAAAGTGAGAGCTGAGGCTGGAGCTCCCAGACAGTCAGGGCTGGAAGTGACCATCCAGCAGTGATGGTGGTCTGTGAAGGGTCCTGCTTCTGTCTTCAGCCTCTCAGGGGCTGGGTTTGGTGAGGAGCTGTGGTCTGGAGAGAGTGGCAGTTGCAGCAGAACATGCCTGCATTTGTTTCCTAGGGCTGCCGTAACAAAGTGCCACAAAATGGGTATCTTAGAACCACAGGGATTTGTTATCTCACAGTTCCAAAGTCCAGAAGTTGGAAACAAAGATGTTGGCAGTATTCCCGACCACATGTTCTTAGGCTCCCATGAAACAGAAGTTGATACGAGGCCAAGCAAGTTTCCCAGACAAGGCTTCATTGAGTCTTATGGCCCGAAAGGTTGGGCAGAAGAGAGACAGTGCAGGAGGAAGGGTTCTTGGCTGGCTCCCCAGAGGGAATGCATTGTGGTGTCTTAAGGAGGGTGACATGCATAATTTATGAGCTAAGTGAGTGTCATTACATGTATGGGGTGGAGTGAAGGGTGCTCAGATGCATGCTAACACATACGTTGCGTGATCAGAAAATGGCAGATAAGCCCCTCCCTGGGTGAGGACTTTAGTATTATCATAAGGCCAGGGTAATTCTCCTGGCCTTGTGCACAAGCAGGTGATACAGTCAACTCCCCTGAGTAAGACTTATGGCATGATGCTACTTATCTTATTTTTTTTCAGACAGTTGGCAAGGTCTGGTTAGCGAGTATGGTGCTGCAAGGTCTAGTGGTCAGCAGGCATGTATGGAACAACACGTTAGTGGGGGTGGGCCAAGTCCCATTTCTACTCTGTCTCAGCAGGGCCATGCTCCCTCTGAAAGCACTAGGGAAGGATTAGTTTCAGGCCTTTCTTCAGCTTCTGTTAGTTTCTTGGCTTGTGACACCAAAGCTGTAATCTTTTTTTTGTTTTGTTTTTGAGACAGAATTTTGCTCTTGTCACCCAGGCTGGAGTGCAATGGCACAATCTCGGCTCACTGCAACCTCCACCTCCCAGTTTCAAGCGATTCTCCTTCCTCAGCCTCTGGAGTGGCTGGGATTACAGGCACCTGCTACCATGCCTGGCTAGTTTTTGTATTTTTAGTAGAGACAGCATTTCTCTATGTTGCCCAGGCAGTTCTCAAACTCCTGATATCAAGTGACCCGCCTGCCTCTGCCTCCCAAAGTGTTGGGATTACAGGCATGAGCCACCAAGCCTGGCCAAAGCTCCAGTCTTTACAGGGCTTTTTCCCTGTGTGCATTTCTGTGTCCAAATTTCCCCTTTTAAAAATCACAATAATAGTGGATTGAGGCTGGCCCTGATGATTTAATCTTAACTTGATCATCTGCAAAGATGCTATTTCCATATGAGGTCACATTCACAGGTACTGGGGTTAGGACTTCAACCTAGAGGGCCTGACTGCTGGCCCCAAACACCATGGCCCCTCCCCAGCATGCCCCATCCCCTTCCTGGGTGCCCCAGGCAGATCACAGGAGGGCCTGACTGCCGGGCTTTGGGCTGGCATTGGGATCATCTGCCTAGTTAGGGCTGTGACCAGACTGAGATAGGGGGACCTGACTCCTGAGGCAGGGCTTGAACTCTAGACCAGATTTCAGACTAGTTGAAACAGGCAAAAGTACCCCTCCATAAGACACACCCACTGGTGCCAAGTGAGTTTGTGGTTCTCATGGCAACACCTGGAAATTACTGCCCCTTTCCATGACAATGACCTGAAAGTTACCACCCCTTTTCTAGAAATTTCTAAATAACCTGCTCCTTAATTTGCATATAATTACAAGTGAGTATAAATATGTGTGCAGAACTGCCTCTGAGCTGCTACTCTGGGCTCACTGCCTATGGGGTATCCCCTGCTGCACAAGGAGCAGTACCTCTGCTGCTGCTGTGCACAGCCGCTTCAATAAAAGTTGCTGTCTAATACCACCGACTCGCCCTTGAATTATTTCCTGGGTGAAGCCAAGAGCCCTCCTGTGCTAAACCCCAATTTCTGGGCTCATCTTCCCTGCATCAAGAGGGTTTTGGGGCTGGGAGCGCTGAAGTTTTGAAGGCAGGATGAAATGGAACCTGTTCTCTCACTGGGCCCTGAGCCACAGGGAGCAACTGTCCTGGGGGCTTTCATGCTCCCTGCAACCTGAGCAGAAAGAAGTACCTGCTACCTGACACCCCCAAAGGCAAAAGCCCTTTCTGGCTCAGATAGGCAGCCCTCCCACCCTGCATGCCTGCATAACTTCTAGGGTTTTGTGGGGAGCCTCAGCAGAGCTGGATCCTGGTCTGTGGGGGCGAGGCAGGCCCCAGAATATATCTTTAGTATCCAGAGAGTGGGAGGGGTGTGGACGGAAGTGAGGTACAGGCATCCTCAGCTGTAACCAAGTATAAAAATACTAGTGTGAATCCACTTCCTGTAGCTGGGCTCTGGGGATCCCCGGGCTAGTGCATTTATAACAGGGGTTGTGTGGCTCATGAGGCTCCATGTGTGACCTGGGCTACCTCATGATCACACAAACGAACCCACAGTTAGGATGCCTCTCCTGTGTGGCATGGACACGTTTTCATTCAACTCACAAACTTTCCCTGAGTGGCTCCTGGAGAGCTGATTTTGGGCTGGAACCTGAGTTATCTACGAAAAATACAAAAGTAATTAGCTGGGCATGGTGGTATTTGCCTGTAGTCCTAGGTATTTGGGAGGCTGACGCAGGAAGACTGATTAAGCCTGGGAGGCAGAAGTTGCAGTAAGCCAAGATTGTATCACTGCACTCCAGCCTGGGTGACAGAGTGAGACCCTGTCTCAAAAAAAAAAAAAAAAAAAAGGAAATTTAAAAAAGAGAGATGCGACAACCCTTGAAGACCATGTGATGAGGTGTGGATTACAGCAGGGCAAGGTTCAAAAGACCATGTGAGCTCTGAGGAGGCGTCGCTGATCACTGGGCATCTGTGAAGTCCTCAGAGAGAAGGTGACTTGGACCTGAAATGATGACACTGTGGGCTTAGGAGCTGGTGGACAGTGTGGTTGGAGCACAGGTGCAGAATGTGGATGGCCAGGCCCAGGCAGCACTGGACTGTGGAGAAACTCGAATGCCAGGCCAATCCCTGCTGAGGGAACACTGGGGACTGGGTTTTCCTCTTTTTATTTTATTTTTATTTATTTATTTTTTTGAGATGGAGTCTTGCTCTGTCACCCAGGCTGGAGTGCAGTGACTCGATCTTGGCTCACTGCAACCTCTGCCTCCCGGGTTCAAGCAATTCTCCTGCCTCAGCCTCCCGCGTAGTTGGAATTACAGGCGCATGCCACTGTGCCCGGCTAATTTTTGTGTTTTTTTAGTAGAGACGGGGTTTCACCATGTTGGCCAGGCTGGTCTCGAACTCCTGACCTTGTGATCCGCCCACCTCGGCTTCCCAAAGTGCTGGGATTACAGGCATGAGCCACCCCACCTGGCCTCCTCTTTTTATTGAGGCAAAAAATCACATAATATAAAAATAACAGATGTACAATTCAGTGACATTTAGTGCATGCGCAATATTGTGCAACCATCACCTCTTAGTTCCAAAATATTTTCATCATCTCAAAAGGAAGTCCCACCTATTAAGCAACTATGGCCTAATCTGCCCTCCCTCTGACCACCACTAACCTGCTTTCTATCTCTATGGATACCTATGAATGGAATCGTATAATATGTGACCTTTTGTGTACAGTTTCTACCAGGTTGTAGCAAGTGCCAGCACCACAATCCTTTTTATGGCTATTATTATTCATATTCTTGTATAGATATACCACGTTTTGTTTGTTGATTCATCTCTTGATGGACATTTGGGTTTCAATTTGTTTTGTTATCGTGAATACTGCTGCTATGAAGACTTATGTACATGGCTTTGTTTGAATACCTGTTTGCAATTATTTTGTGATGTATCTAGAAATAGAATTGCTGGGTCCTATGGTAATTTTATGTGTAGCCTTTTGCAGAACCTCCAAACTTTTCCATAGTGGCTGTGTCATTTTACATTCCCATCAGTGATGTTCACATTTCTTCACTTCTTTGCCAACACTTGTTATTTTCTGTTTGTTTGTTTGTTTGTTTGTTTTGTTTTTTGAGACAGAGTCTCACTGTGTCACCCAGGCTGGAGTGCAGTGGCACAGTCACAGCTTGTTGCAACCTCCTCCTCCCAGGCTCAAGCAATTCTCCTGCATCAGCCTCTCAAGTAGCTGCGATTACAGGCGCTTGCTACCAAGCCTGGCTAAGTTTTGTATTTTTAGTAGAGATGGGGTTTTACCATGTTGGCCAGGCTGGTCTCAAACTCCTGGCCTCAAGTGATCTGCCCGTCTCACCCTCCCAAAGTGCTGGGATGACAAGTGTGAGCCACTGTGCCTGGCCTTGTTGTTGTGGTTGTTTTTGGTAATTGTTATTCTAATGGGTGTCAAGTGGTATTTTATTGTAATTTCCATTTGCCTTTCCCTGATGGCTAGTGATGTTGAGCACCTTTTCATGTACTATTTGTGTATCTTCTTTGGAGAAAAGTCTTTTCAACTCTTCTTCCCATTATAAAATTGTGGTTTTTGTCCTTTTGTAGTTGGGTTCTTTATATGTTCTGGATAGTATACCTTTATCAGATATGACTTGCAATGTTTTTCTCCCATACAGTCGGTTTTCTTTTAGCTCTCTTGGTAATGTCCTTTGAAGTACATAAGTTTTAAATTCTGATGAATTCCAGCATATCTATTTTTTCTCTTGTTTCCTGTGC